AATCTTTTAATCTCCGAACGGACGAAAACCATTATATTGGTGTATCTCCACTTACTCAATTGTCTGTCAAGTTTGTTACACAATTCCCCTTGTGTTCTATGCACTTATTATGGGAAGGAGTAACGAAAAGGTTCTTTAACTATCTTATACTAAAAGCTAAAACAAAAGCGAAATTGAGAGCATCAGACACAAACAAAATTTCTTGTCTCCTGGAAGAGTTTTGTATATTTATTCCAAGAAAGTTTGCTCGTAAACCTTGTTCTCTGCACTATGTTGCCCGATGGAAAGCAACTGAACATCGACTTTTCTTATTATATACAGGAGTAGTTGCTCTTAAACAAGTACTTTCACAGGAATTGTATGATCTTTTTCTTTTATTACATGTAGCTACAAGAATAGTTTCTTATGAACAACTTATAGAGAAATAAATTTGTTAGTTTCGCAGAAAAAATTTTTGCAGCTTTTGTTGAACATTGTACACATCCAACGGTTTTTGGACCTGATTTTATATCGTATAACATTCACAGCCTTCTATATATATGTGATGATGTTTGTCGATATGGTGTAATAGAAAATTTTTCTGGATTTCCATTTGAAAATTTTCTAGAAGTGATCAAACGCTTGATTCGGTCTGGTGCAAAAGTTCTTCAACAACTTGCTCGACGGCTGGCTGAAATGAACTATTTGTATGATTTTCAACAACTTCCACTCACGTCATGGTTGCCTTCAGGTTACAATTCATCCACAAATGAATATAAAACATTGTCTAACAAAATTTTCACTTTTTCTACCAATTTAAAAGACATTTTTTTTTGTTCAAATGAGAATGTTGCACAGGTGAAAAAATTCTCAAATCTGAGACTGGAATTGTTCTGATTGCTGATGTTTGTAATGATTTTCATGATTTTTTTGAGATTCCAATTAAATCCAGCAAAGTAGGCATCTGGAAATTAGGTAGTTGGACTCATCAAAATGTTTCTGTTTCACTAGAAACTGTTCATGGAAAGTGTATAGTTCTTCCATTCAAAAATGAACGTATTGCTATCAAATTGCTTCATACGTCTTAAAAGCAACAATATACTGTTAATGTTACATTTTTTTATTTGGCATTGATTAGTTGGAACCTAAAATATTTTTTAGTGTCAGTCTCCATTCTCTTGTTTTTTCTTTTTTGTTTTTGTTCTTTGTGGTATTAAAATTAGATTTTCTAAAGCCACATTTGTTGTATATATGTAACGGATCACCCTTTCCCGTCGCCACGGATCAGCTCGTCGGTGTCAGGATTCGGGAAGAGGGGAGACTCAGATTCGCAAGGACCACACGGTTGTTCTGATAAAAACAGAGTTTATTCGAGTCACCTTTCAGGGGTAGACTTGCTATTTAGTTCACAGATACAGAGAATCTTAAGACGGACGAAACGCGACCAGATTATTCGGACGCGAGCACGATTTATAGCTAGAATTTACAAGGAGAAGTACGACGGGCGAAATATATACAACGCGGACACGGGTGCCCTGAAAAGGGCGAGCCCGTAGAGCGCAGGTGATTCGCGGACAGGACCCGGTGACCGAGAATACTCGGCCTACGCGACGAGAACGCTCGTCGGCTGGGACGGCTTACGGACAGGACCCGGTGACCGAGAACGCTCGGCCTACGCGACGAGAACGCTCGTCGACCGGGATAGTTAGGAGCTTAGGATTCGAAAGTGATCTCTGAGAACGCTCGGAGCAGGACTGGTCGAGAAACCTCGGCTGAGCCGCTTTTATACCCGCCAGTCGACCCCCTCCAAGCTAGTCTTGAAGTGGGGTGGCTGGTCGGGTGGGGCGAAAGGCGAATTTCCATCGCGTTTATTATATGGTGGCCCCGAAAGGGGCCGTTTGTATGAGCGCGGGCGGTTGGTCGGCCCTGTGCATGCGCGGCGCCTAGTAACGACCAATCGGGTCGTCACATATATAACTTATATTTTTAGAATATTTGTATGCTGTGGTAGAATTTCCACCTGACAATGCAGGTAAGAAACCACAAACAGCGATTGTTTTAAAATCATGGCTTTTGCCAAATAAGAAATGCTTGTGGCCTTGCTACCTGAAAAGCGACATTGCAATTCAAAAGGCTTTAATATCAAAGCAAGAGCCCGGTGAAGGTTATATGAAGTGCGACTTCTTACGAAATCTTTATGAATACCGTATGTATAATTCTAATGTTTATGTTAAATACTATAAATACGTTACTTTTTAAAGTATTTTGTTTAGCATTAAACTAACAATTCATTTTGTGTAGATACATACAAAGATGCTCGACTCGGACTTCGTAAATCTGAACTTACATCAGACTTAGAATCAAATAAAGAAGAATCTCTTAAATTTTCAAGAGGGCGTCAGATAAAACGAATACTTTATGATGATGATGAAGAAGATGATTTTTCATCCAAAAATACATCCGTTAAAGCACCTCTTATTATTTCATTTTCATATAATGATAGTGAATTAAGGACAGATCAAACATGTTCAAAGATCAAAAATCAAACATGTTCAGTAGTTAAGAAACGTAATATACAAAAGATATCAAAAAAAGTGTACAACCCACATGCATTAAAAAGAGGCTTATAAAAAATAAAGTATTAGAAGATAATTACTGATTGGTATCACAAGCCGACATTCTCAGGGAGGTATTTACATTTCTTGTCTCAGCATCCATTTTGTCAAAAGCGGGGAACTATATACGGTCTAGTGGATAGAACAATTTTATTATCACATCCACGATTTCATTATAAAAATCTCGTTACCATTGTCAACATACTTTTAGAAAACTGTTATCCGCTTGACTTGATATTCAATACCATTAACCAACGTTTGGTAAATTTATTCAAAAAATTAAAAAATACCACAATTAACGTTAACAATAATAATAATGAACAAACGTCTTTTTTCACTATACCATTTTTACCCGGTTTGACTGAACAATTTAGAAATATTATTAGGGGCATGAATATTAAATTATCCTTTTTTAGTTTTAATAAATTAAATAAATATATACGGGCACATAAAGATACTATTTCTAAAATGAATAATACCAACGTTGTTTATAAAATTAATTGTTCAAACTGCGACGCTTCTTACGTTGGCCAGACTAGTAGAAGACTGACCACGAGAATTTCTGAACATAAGAAACATAGTTAAAAATACTAATATTAATCAGTAATAACTGACCACCGCATTAATTTTAACCATAAATTTGATTGGGGGAACATTAATATTTTAGATAAAGAAATTTATTACGGGAAAAGATCAGTATCAGAAATAATATACATAAAAAGACAAAATAGTAGTCTCAATTTACAGACTAATACTGAAAGTCTATCTGATATTTATATCGAAGCTATGGAGAGACTACCTAAACTTTAAAGTTAAATAACAAACACAAAATGATTAAATTTGTTTACCAATTTTCGTTTCCAACTGAGCCTAAGTATCCTCTGAGCCGTTCTACTGACATGAGAATTACACTAGTGTCACTTTTGTTACTGTTACAATTAAAATTCTGTCACATCATAAATATATGTAAGTTTTTTATTGGCATACTTTTTTGATACCATTGTTAGATTACTGTTTCTTAACGCACTTGATTGTGGATCTTATAATTAGTGAGTTGTAATGAGACAATTATTTTAATTTATAGGATGCGATTAATGTTTAATATTTTAACACCTGCCAACCTCGTAGTCAGAAAACTAAAGAGGAGCGCTTCCCACAGTTACGTTATTGTGATTGAGTAGTGAGAATCACCTTATTGTTAATCTTACGACGTTTTATTTCGTTTATTGATGTAACCGCGTTTAAATATGTTTATGAAACTTTTATACGTTAAACATGAACTTTAGACTTTTGTGAATTTAATTTGCTTCTTGTGTGTACTGCGCTGAAGAAGATCCGAAAAATTGGATCGAAACATTTGCTTTTTCATGTTTTAATTTTCGAGGTTATTTTTGTAATGTTATATTAATTTAAAACTTTGTTGTTTCTAACAGTATATATTGATTAAATGTAATAAATTAGTCTTTTTGATAACCGTAATATTACTTTTACTCTTATTAGCCTTTTATATGTCTAATACTTTATTTGAATTAAAGAGCATTTAATTATTATATTGTTTATAAAAATAAGTTATTTAAAAATACGTCTTGGGTAGTTAAGAAAGCAAAGCTTGCATTGGAACTAAAGCAAAGTAAGTTTTTAATAAATTCATTAGATTATATTTGACATGTATATTATGTTATTGTAATTTTACTAAGGGTGTTTTTTCAGGGCTACCTCTTCAAAAAAGTAATACAAATATGATGGATAAATCTCATGAACAGATCTCCACAGATGTATCTTGTGAATTAGCATCTGAAGTACCTTTCGCTTTAACGCAGAGGACTGCCAATTTAGAAGAGAGAACAGACACTGCTTTACTTTCAAAGCAGAGTACGACTTCTTGCTCCACTTTAACTAAGGAAAAATCTTTTTTAGTTACACTTTTAAAGAAACACATTGATAACCAAAAAAGAAGAGCTCATTTGACGTCACCTTCTCTTTCAAAACAATGCACTTCGAAAGGGAATAGAACGCGTTCGGCTTCACCCTCACCGTTGAAACAAAGTCAGTTTTTTTTTCCCGATTCAGCGACTTTCGGATCTATATTTTTCTCTCACATTGTATTTTCCATAGGGGGGAACAGGGGATGTATGGAATTAAATCTCTTGTAGAGATTATTTCAATTTTAAATCTTGGCGTGTCCAAGTAAAATTTGGTGCCTTGTGCACAGGTATTTAATTCTAACGAAAAAATTTAGTTTTGTTAGGATAACGCACTGTCATCCGCGATTTGGCTCTTATTGCCTGTCTTATACGTTAATTTATATTTATATTACAGAGCCTTGTTAAACTCTTAATTTTTTTTTTAATTTTCTGCTTCAGTTAATGTTATTTAATTTCTATAAAAATGTTTAAATTTTTTTATTGTAATATTTTTATATATTTGTACTCTTTCTGTTTAATGATTTGCATTATGTAGTTTGTGCATGTTATGTATTTAAGTACTTCTATTTTGTCATTAATTAATGTTATTACAGGAATTAATAGCAGTGCATCTTAATCTTTAGTCTTCAGCTTATCTGTTAGTGACTTTAATGCAGTTGACACTTCAGCTTCATCTCTTAGCCGTAGTAATATTGTTGATTCTAGTATGAACAAATCTGATATAGAAGACAATCTTGAGGATTTACAAAGGAATAATCATGACACTGAACATGCTTATAGCAACAGTAATGACAGTAACGCAGACTCTGATCATGATAATCAAGTTGAGGCATCAAAAAAGACCATTGGCAAAGGTAAAATCCTACGTATCTCTTTTTTTTTGGTGTGTAAATACTAATTTATTCTCCGTTATTGTGATTGCAGATATAGTAAAAAATCTAGTTTCTATGGTGAATATTATAAAACAAGTTCAACGTAATCATGGAATATTATTGAAGGAAATACTGCAACGACTTAGAAATAAAGGAACAATCGTACCTCATCCTGAAGGAATGCCACAAAGGTATTTGAAAACATTACTGCAGCTGATAAATGGAAAAATGTTTAGCTTTATCCGAAGCACAAATGGAATATTTAGTAAGTACAGATTTGAAATCCATTTAGTAGTTTCCATAGCAGAACATAAAATATTTTTTAACAATAAATTTTTGGAATTGAAGAAAATATGAAACATTTCCAGACCAAAAGACTTTCTACCGAAGGTGGAATATCAGTGCAGGAATGCGTTGATCGCATTATGAAAAAATTACTCACACGTGCAGTTGGTAGTCTTTATAGTTACATGGGAAGAAAACAAAAAGGGAGGGAACAAACACTTGCTTTTTTCCCACAAAAATGTGCAAAGTTGTCAAAGGTACGATTGTTTTACAATTTTTATTTATTGAAATACAGAAATATAATAGCATGGCGATATGTAGATTTCTCTTTTCTTTTATAAAATATTTAAAATAATTTTTTAGTCAGAATTATGTTATGACTGTGTTAAAAACAAATTAAATATTGTCTAATTTTTTTCTCAGATGCAGTATTACTTATACATCCAGATGCCAATGGAAAAATTATAGACAAAACAATAATGGACTATTTACGTTACTCGCCTTTTAGGAGTGACAAATAAGTCTGCAGATATATGTATTATGTAATGTTCCTTAATATAACTTTATATAACTTTAAGAAATAAATATTGTAGGCCAACTAAACGAGCAAAATTACATAAGATATAAAGATTTATTAATAATTAAAGTCTCATTCCATTAGAGAAACAATATACAACGTAACCGTTTCGACTGCATTACAGTCTTCTTCAATACATAAAACTCAAATATTAAAATACAAAGTTAACGATTCTTCGCTGATGAACAATGGATGAGTAAGACGATTGGTCTGAAATTCCAAGTTTTGCGACATTTAATCATGCTCTGTGGAGATTTTACGCGAATTAATTAATATCAGAGAAAATTGAAAAATCTTTCAACTTACATTATCGTTTTAACAAGTTCTTCTTTTCGAAATTTCAAGTGTGTGTTGCGAAGTCTAAATAACAAATGTCAAGGTAGAGAGCGTGATGTATATATTTATTACCAATGTTTTTCTAAACTATGATTCAACTAATTTCTTAAGTATATCAAAATAACTATTGTCTAACAATTCAGTGCCTTTGTTTAAATTAATTCCATTTTTCTGTTCTTTAATATGGATTATTTCAGATATTAGCCTTTTATGATAATTTTTTTCATGATCCATAATCTTAGTGTTATCCCAGTCAAATGTATGCTGTTCATTTAGAATGTGTTCCGTGACAACCGAATGCTTAGCAGAGTCTAATTTAATATTATTTTTATGTTCTTTAAGTCTCGTTCCTAACTGTCTTTTTGTCTGTCCAACATATGTGGCGTCACAATCATTGCAATTTAATCTATAAATAACATTAGAATTCTTGGGACAATCGTTTCTGTCCTTTTGAACTCTTATGAAGTCATTCAATTTTTTAATGCAACGAATATCCCACCAATATGTCAGGTCTTTTTATTGCTGAAGCGACTTTATCAGAAATTGATTCTATATATGGTATGACAAAATATTTAATTAATTGAAAGATGTTTCAATCTGCGTTTTATTTCTATGAAAATTAAGTCAAGAGGATAACCATTGGATAGCAAAATATTAATAGCTTTCTCCATATTTTTTTGTGAAATTGAGGATGTGATAGCAATATAGCTCTATCTACCACGCTATAAATTGTTTTTAATTTATGACAAGTCAAATGACTTGAAAAAAATAAGAGTAATCTATCTGAGAATGTCTTTTTGTGATACCAATTTAAATAAATTTTATTATCTATTACTTTGATCATGTCTAAAAAGCTTATACATCGATTATCCTCTTTTTCTAATGTAAATTTTAGTATTGTTTCTCTAATGGAATGAGAATTTAATTATTAATAAATCTTTATATCTTATGTAATTTTGCTCGCTTAGTTGGCCTACAATATTTATTTCTTTTAATTTCGTTAATTTATACGAGCCTTTCATCAATTAATTTTTATATAACTTTATTATATCTTATATTTACTGATAGTTGGTTGTAAAGAGTAGAAATCTTCGAATTTATTGATGTTTATTAAGTTTATCAAAGATATATGTCCAATTGTTACAGATGTATGTTTTTTATTTAGTATTCAGTATTCGTATGTTTTTATAATGTGTAACAGAACTTATTAACATTAATTAATTTCATACACATTTCTTACAGACTGATAAATATACATGTGTCAAGTTTATTTTATATTCAGTTTACAATATTTCTGTTAGTTTAAGAATAAGTTTGAAAGTCTTTCAATTTGTGTGTTAACGTAAAGATAGTTTAAAAATATTTCAATTTATTATCATAAGATGATGAGGTTCTTATAATGGAATAAATATGAGTATAAATATTTTTTTATTAAGTTTCTGTTAATAGTTTTGTGATATATAGAATTTATTGTACTCTTTTTCTGAAATAGTTTATTATACATATATTTAAAATATAGAACCCGTTAGAGTTTTATGATACGTATAAATAAGTTCCACTATTTAAAAATTCTTGTTTTATGTTTAAGAAGTTTTCTTTTAAATAGATTTGAATAATAAATTCATTTATAATCTGCTCAAATACAACTTCAAAATTAAAAAATTAATTGTTTTATTTTACTATTGCACATCTGTCTCTTAGTACAACATGGCGAATAATTACTCCTACAAAAAAGACAACGATAACGTTTGGCAAACGTGACACAAAGTAGCATGGTAACTAATTTACAATTTTTTCATATAAGAGGAAAGGATTGATTGGTTACCGCGTCATCTTTTGCCACATGACAAGCGTTACTGCATTCTTTCTGTAAGAGAAATTATTTGAATGTTTGACGAATGCTCCCCAAACGTTACATCGTAATGTCTCACTAATAACACTCAGATAACAGTTATTGTTATAACATTCAACGAATATTAGCATCCGAATATTTGACGAATGTCCCCTAAATGTTATATCGTAATGTTTCACGAACATTCTTTGAACATTAGTTAGGTGCGAACTTCTAACATTCAGATAACAGTTATTTCAGTTACGGTTATAACATTCCATGAATATTTTGCGAACATTAGCATGCTGCCTGGGATGTTTAAATTAATTATATAAAAACACAATATACACCTCCATTTCGGCCAATAGAACCAAACGCGATGTTATTGCGAAAATTAAGAAAGAAAATTAAGAAACTTAGGAATTTGTATCTTATGGTTGGGATCTCAAAAATTTCCCTTGTTCCTCCTTTAACCTCTCTTGTAAAGAAATAGGCGAGAAAAATATTGGTCCGAAAGTCGGCTGAATCGGGAATCGAACTCGAGATCTTTCGCTTGCCGGGCGACTGCTTTTTCCAATATTATATAAACTTATTAAATGTCAAACTAAAATGGACAGTTGTATCTGTGAATTATGTAAACACATTTTTTCGTGGAATTCTTAATATGATCTTTTTTTAGATGTGGAGAACCTTTTTTTTAATTCCATCGTTTGAAAGCATGGAAATATCATAGTTCTCAAAATTATAAAGAATCCTCTAAATGGAAATGATGCTTTTAATATTACGGATGACATAATTTAGAAAATTAATGTTAAATTACTAACATATGTGTGTCTATTCCTAATAAGCCTACAATAGTCTGTTATGTTGTAACCATTTCGGTTCCAACGATAAAATATGAACATGTTATTATGTGTGTATGTAGGATATTTGGGAGAGAGATATATATTTAATTGTTTTAAAAATACGTTTATTCTGTCACTAAGTCAGAATCGAGAAAGAGCTTCTCGACCGTTTTATGTATGTTTTTCAAAAAGAACGGTTTCTCGAAAGTCACCAATCACGCGAAGATACGAATTCGGCAGATTTCGGGGCGACAAAAAAGATAAATACGTACACCGGACAAATACACAAAAGAATACAAAAGCGATGCCTGACAATAACATTCGGCCGCGATAACATACATGATCTCAACGATGAGTATAACGTCTTGTCAAATAAATGTCGACTGTTCGGCCATTCTGACATTAAGCCGTTCCGGCCTAACATGATTAAATGTCGCGAAATCGGAATCGATGTTTGTCGCATTGAGCGTATACCTACAACATAATTATAATTTTATATATGGTCGCATTTGATTGGGCGCTATTACCCCGCTATACGGTCGTTGCGTAACCTGAAATCCCTCGATATCGCTTACAATATATCGATCGTGGTCGAGCACCTTCTTTACTACATACGGTCCTTTGAATTTCGTATCAGTTTTTTATTGATTCCAACCGTATTTTCTACATTCTTAATTTCGACATAGTCACCAGGTTTATATTTGTGTGCTGGTTTTCGTCGCACATTATACCGCGCAGCACTCTGTTGTTGTGATTCGTTAATTTTTCGGCGTTGCACCGGAGTCCATCAAAATCACGCTCCGCGTCTGCATCGATCCGTACAAGGTCGCATAGCGCATCGCTCGCTTTTCCTCTCTGTTCTAAACCGAATAGCAAACGGGCAGATGTCTCGCCAGTTACCCGGCAGACAGTATTGTTCATCGCGTACTCCACTTCTTTTAAGACACTATTCCATTTAGAGAGTGTTTCACTTAAATTTGCCAGCATCGGTGTAATTACCCGATTAAACCGTTCTACCTGCCCATTAGCTCTCGGCGTTCCGACGGCGACCAAAACATGATCGACGGACACAGACCTTAAAAACTCCCTGAATACGTCGGATGTGAAACAAGTGCCCCGGTCTCAAATTAGACGTTTAGGCTGACTATACGCCCGAAAATAATCGCGAAAGTGGCTAATAGTTTCTTCCGTCTTAGTTGATTTACACGGGTACAGTCTAATAAATTTTGTGAAAACATCGATGATAACAAATAAATGTCGAAACCCTCTTCCAGTCTTTTCTAGCGGTCCTAAATGATCGATATGAACAGTCGCGAAGGGAGCGCTTTCTTTTGGAATGTTGTGTAAATATTTTTCCGGTTTTCCACTTGGCGGTGAGAACTCGATACAGCGCAGACAATTAAAAATATATTCTTTAACTTTATCTCGCATCCGCGGAAACCAATATGTTTTTGTTATGCCGTCGATGACCTTATCGACCCCGATGTGACCCAGGTCATCCTGACACGTTCTAATGACGTTGTTCTCCATCGATTGTGACACGTAAAACATCAATTTTTTATTTTTTTCTTTCCGATACATCAACCCGTCGCATAATTCATAATATTTCTTCTCACTCTTTTCGAGCTCGTCGCGAATTTTTGTAATCTCTTTATCCCGATTCTGACAGATCGACAAACGACAACGTTTTTATGAATGTATTGCCTTCGAGTACAAGAATACTGTGGCAACGGCTAAGTGCATCCACGTGGCTCATACGCCTTCCCGGACGATGAACGATCTCGCAATCGTAATCCTGCAGAAAGAGAGCCCATCGCGAGATTCGCGGATTTACGTCTTTTTATTCAGCATGAGTCGAAAGCTGTTACAGTCCGTCATAACTTTGTAACGGTGCGTTCTCGATTAGCCTCGGACGGTTCGCCGGAACCAGGATTCGGGAGCGGAAGGCCAAACTTGCGTACACGAGTTTAAAGTCACAGTTGATTTATTCGGTGCTATTTACA